GTCTTCAAGCAGCCAGCATCCTCTATCAAAATGGGCATTTTAGGAAAGATCTTAAAGCAGTTATTTTACCCCTTAGGATAGATTCAGCTTAGTATATTCTTGTTTGCAAGGTAGTGAAATTCTAAGCCTTTTTCTCTAATTATGAAATTAAAAGCTTTGTACCTTCTTAAAGGAATTTCAGACATCAGCACACAGGAGGGGGAGGTATTTGGGGAGGGGTATTGAGTCTTATGCTAGGAAGGCTGGCCTGAAGTAACATTCTGAAGTTATCCTGCTAAAAACTATTTGGAAACTCTTTATCCCCAACTTATCACTAATTAGACAGAGATACTAATTTTAGTTTAGGTATTTTGTGTTGAGAAGGAAGAAAGATAAGAGAAAAATACTTTATTTCCTCATTATCAATGTACTTCTTTTTGCACAAATGATCACTGGACTGATTTTACTAACTAGATTAAAAAAAGATATTGCTAATTTGGGGCTTATAAGATGTATAATTTCCCCCAAAGGGAATATCCAGGAATAGGATTAAAAACCCCTGATCCCACATTGGGCAGGCACCTCATTACTTTTATCCCCATTAATGAAATCTGGTTTGATCTTAAAGCATTGGCAGTTCTAAGGCAACCAAGTTACTCATAATAAGCCAATAATTTTTGTTGTGAATTGATTTCTTTTGCATGTGACATCCTTATAGCTACTTACTGTCACAGTCTCTGTCTGCATTATCATTCAAGTGAGTCATTTCATGTCTTTGAAGTTCTTGAAAGAACATCATCCATGAAGGCTTTACACTCAACAAGTACATAATAAACTGAGATATTGAAGCAGCCTTTGTCTTTTAAATGAGCCTATAAAGTATATGTTATTTTCACTGCATTATTTTTTTGTGTACCCTGTTTAAAACAGGATATTTGTTAAATATCGGTGTTGATACCTAAAAAGCATTTATTCCAGTGGAACTATCTCCCCAGCACTGCTGCAGAAGAAATGTTACCAAATATTTTATGCTAAATTGACATCCAGTTTCTAAGGTCATGGCTTCACATTGATAAGGTTTTAATCTTTTTGAATCATTGTTCACTTTAGCCAGTGTACATACTGAGCACTACATCCTAAGTGTGGGAACCTCCTCCACTCATACGGATTAGTAGTAGTCTCTATACTTTATAGTCAGTATCTTTGGGGTATTGAGAGGCTGAACTGATTTTAAGGTTTGCTGCTTTTGTTAATTACACCGTGCTGCCTCTCATTTTAAAAATCTGTTACTTGAGCAAAAAAAAAACCACTTTGAATCTAAAATTTTTCTTGAATTAAAAATGGAAGGTCTTTGCTGAACGTTGTCCCATATTTAAAAGGTCTGTTACTTCAGATACATAGGACAAAGGCTAGAATGTGCAGTAACTATTGAGATCACATTCCTGTACCCTACATAACTGGGGAAGGTGGGGACAAGAGGGAAGGAAGGGCCTTTGGAGCACAGGTCTGCAGGCCATAGCTGGCAGAGCTCTGGGCTTGGGGTCAGGAAGTCCTGAGTCTAAACCCTGACTTTAACACTTAATAGTTGTGTGACCCTGAACAAGCCATGTCACCTTTTTCAGCCTAAGTTTCCTTATCTTTAAAAAAAAAAAAAAAGTATATTTTTTCAATTGTATTTAAAGGACAATTTTTAATATTCATTTTTTAAAATTTTGAGTTCTAAATTCTCTTCCTCCCATTCTTCCCCCTTCCGTGAGAAGGCAAGCAATTTGATATAGATTATACATATGTAGTCATGCAAAACAGATTTCCATATTAACCATGTTGTGTAAGAAAACAGACCAAGAAGAAAAAAGGAAAGTAAAAACAGTATTCTTCGATCTGTATTCAGTCTCCATCAGTTCTTTCTCTGGAGGTAGATAGCCTTTTTCATCATAAGTCCTTCGGAATTGTCTTGGATCATCGCATTGCTGAAGACAACTATCATTTAGTTGATGATTGTACAATATTGCCGTTAATGTGTACACTAAGATTCCATATTTTTAAAATGCAGATAATAGTAGCATCTCCCTTAGAGGTTGGTTGTGAGACCACTTGGGATGACATGTAACGTGCTTTGCAAACCTTTTCAAGTCTGTATGAATACTATTATTATAGTTGAGATAAGGAAGGTGGGAAAGTGAAATTAGAGCAGCCATGATGACTGGGGAGAGTACTGAGGGATATAAGTCATGGTGAGGATGAATAATAATTGACTTAGGATGGATAAGGCTAGGCTTTGGAGACAGGATGATAGGATGACAGATTACGGAGTATTTGATCATGGAAGTACTCTTGTGAGTACTGGTGGGATCAAAGGTGTTTTGACCATCCCTGTGCATAGCTGAAGTATTGGAGGAGACATTAACACGTACATCAGCATCCCCTCGTTCAAAGGCAAGAATTGGTACAGAGGAGTCTGAACCAGGTAATGACTGGGACTAAACATAATCCACTCTTTTCATTGCCTGGGGGGAGGGGGAAGAGAGAGAAAGGGGGCTGGAGTAGGAAGTGGAAAATGAGATGGTAAATGAACAGAACAATTAGTTGGTATCTCTGGAATTTAATAAATACCTCTCAATGCATCTCTGTCCAGTTGTTTTAGAAAATTGTTTCAGGACTGAGTTGTTACTGGATCATTTACAATCTTACCCTTCCCCCAATAAAAACACACAAAACTTATAGACTTTAATTTTATAAATTATAGGTTGCTGTTTTGGGAATGGTGCTTCAGGTATGGCTGAGGCATTACCCACTTATAGCCACAGTTTTTGCTATAGAAGGTAATTTTCTCTCACTATTTTACTATGCACCAGTTTTTCAGCTACCTGTCACTTTACTCATTAAATCCTCTCCTTCCACCCAAGGGGAGGAGAGGGCAAAAAACTATACTTACTTATACTGTGATCTGTCACTATTAAGTATTTATAGGCTGTTACCATGTCATCACTTTCTCAATCTCAAAATTTTGGAGTCATCCTAAGATCAAATTTCAAATGAAGTGACCCTTAGTTACTCAGCCTCCTTATTTTACAGATGAGGAAAGTCATTACAGAGGTTAAGTGACTTGCCTAAGGGAGAGTCAGGTGGCAGAGAGCCAGTCCTAATTCCATCCCAACCCAGTGCCTTTGACTTTAAAAGCTCTACATAGCACATCCCATTTTTTTCAGATACTGTAATAAAGCATTTCATCAAGCAAAACTCATTAATAAACTAACTCCAATATACATTGATTTATTCCTTAAATATCTTATCTGCATCTACATCATAGTAGCTTAATATTTTACAAGAGAGAGGAGTTGGCTTCTAATTAGATTTCCTAAACAGATTTGGTTTACATTGAGATTAGTTAGCCAAGGGTCAGTTAATGTATTTTAATTATTTTCTTTTCTGATTTTTAGGTTGGTTACAGCAGATGTAGCTTTTTACACTGGAAATCTTCAAGCCTTAAAAGGACTTAAAGATCTGGACCTAAATATGGCTGAGATCTGGGAACAGAAGAGGTGATAATATACTGGAAAACTGTATTTGTGTCAGACCATAGGATGTTATCTGAGAAGAACTTGATGCCTGTCTCAAATATTTAAAGCAGAGCCCAAAAGCATGTATGTAGGGGAAGGAAAGGGGAAAGTATCAGTGTGGGGAACTGGATTCAGTGGGACCTGCAAGGAATGTCCTTTTTTGTGCATCCTCAGTGAGGGATAACTGATCAGGTGTCTATAACATTTTTCATTCTCTCTGGAAACAGACTCAGGTTTCTTTGGACCAAATCCAAAAGAACACATAGCTGTAACACAGCTGTAGTTGACTAGAATGCTCTATATACCTTTATATTAAAAAATGCTTTGCATTTCTTCCAGTGCAATGAAATTCATATGGTGTCCCACCTTATTTAATGATGGTACAATTTAAAATATTAAAATCTTAGTCAATCTCTGTAGAAAATGTTTTCTCTATGAAAGTAATGCTGTTTGAAAAAATTATTTTTTTACAGATCTTTCTATAAAAAAATAAACATCTTTTGATTGCTTGGATTTAGGATTCCCCTTTTTGTTTTAGTAAGCAGTTTCATGTTTCAGGGTTTGTGTGTCTCATACCTTCTCTTTATACTGCCACCGATGCTGACTGAGTAAAGCTTTCCAGGTTAGTCTGACCACCTGAAATGCTGATCATTAGTGATGATTAAAGAATAAGGTGTTGGCATTAATTTATGAAGCTACTAATTTAAGTACTTTCCAGTAACAGTAAGTAGGGCTGGTGTTCCATATCTGTATTTTTATATTTATAAAACAACCTATGAAGAATTTTTTTTTCGCCTTTCTCATTTCTGGCAGAGGTAAAAATGCTTATTTATACAAGTCTGTATACTTGTGAAAGTTTATTTTAAAATTTTGTATGTTACCTAAGCATTGCCCACCTTGGGTTCTTAATTTTAAGTTACTTTGATGTGTGATGTCTAAAGAACAGAGAGTAGTAGAATTTTTTTAGCATAATATAGTACAGGCTGCTATATATAAGCTGTAGTATTGGGGAGGGGAGTGTGAGTTGATGAATGGAGTTAACTTGTTGGGAGACTTTTTATAAACACTTTACCTTCAATATTAGAATCAGTAAGCACTCTACAAGTAACAAAGTGCCTGTGCTTCATCTCACATTAACAATCTTACCTAAACATGTCAGAGTGCCTAACCTTGTAATGATTATGTACAACCAAATGTTCTTATATTATGTTAAGGTTTCCTCAGAAAGGCAAGCCTGTCTTTTTCTTTACCATTATGAAGATGTCATCAGTTCTTAAACTGTCTAAAAAATAAAGCTATGAAAATATCAAGACTTTTAAAGACCAACTTCTTTTAATAGTTACACAGTAAGATACAGTTTAGTGTTACTATAGAGCTTAATGGAACAAGCATGGAAGAATTGGAAAAGCGATCATTATAACAAAGGGCACAGTAATTTAATGAAAAGTAGACAATTTGCAATGCTGTTTGTGAGCTTTATTTGGCCATTCTGAGAAACTTGATTCATCTCTTTCCTCCTGAAGATTGCTTCAGTGTATGATTTTTTTAAAATAACAAACCCAAAACCATAAAGGGACGGTGCAGCAAAAGGAAAGAAGAGGATAAGCAGAAAGCATTGCTTACTACTCACTGACCCCACAGGAGAGATGGGAAGAGGAGGAGAGAGGCAGAAAGGAGCCAAATCCAATCCAATAACCAATTCCCACCAAGCAAAAAAAAAAAACAACACACACACACACACACACACACACACAGAGGCTTGAATAAACACATTCTTTGGAAGGAAATAAAACTGGCTAATCTACATCCTCACAATGAAACATGATGAGGTATTAATCCATTTTGTATATAGATAAAACCAAACAAGATTCTCATAGATGCAAAAATTTAAGTACTACAATTTCAAGCCTTTCCAGTCTTTTAAATATCTATTCTGCAATAGTGAAAGATTACTTCATAAAAATGATCTAATTGAAAAATTATAAATGTGCACATATATATTGCTTCACAGCTTTATTTTTAAATTACAAGCAGTTCAAAATGACCAGAGCCAGGCAGGCCTCTGTCAAAAGATCTTCCAGCAGAGCCATTCCCTTGTTAAGACCAGCAATATTGCACTTAAAAGTTAATGACATACAGACCTCTTCAAAAAAGTAGTAGTATTGCTTTCAAATGTCCATCTGTGCTTTTAAATAAGAGCATACTGCAGAAAACCGCTACTTTAAAAATTAATACTTCAGGGTACAGTGAAATAGTGGATAAAGCACCTGCCTCTATTCTCAAACCTTATTGAACATTCCATTTGTGAAAAACAATTTAACTCATAATCAATAAAGTATACAGAATATTTTTTTCTTCAGTGGTCCAAGATCCGAAGGTTACCAGATACAATTTTATTCTCTAACACAGCTCCAGGAGGGATATCAATTCTGTCACCATGGTTTGCAATGATGATAACCGTTCCCTAAATTAAGAGGAAAATAAAAAGGTTTAAAAAAGGACTTCTCACATCCCTGTTAAGAAATTGAGGAATGGGTACAGGCCAACAGTGGCCAACCCAGAAGATGGCTCTGCTGCAATCATTCTCTTATCCTATGCCTACATATACACAGGCTTGGGGGAGAGGCAGGGGCAGAGGTAGCTAGCTGGCCTCGAAGACAAGAACACCTGGGTTTATGTTCTACCTCGGTGGTGTCTAGGCAGTTCTTCAGACTATAAGTATCTCTAATACCAATGAGACCAATGGGCTCAGTCCCAACTCCTACAAGTAAAATGCTCCAAAATTTGCGTTTCTTTGGTGAGTCCAAGACTTCCTCTGCAGATGAGGAAACTGAGGCCCAGAGAGATTTCTTGCTAACTTGCCTAAGGTTGTATAGGTAGAAGTAAGTAGTAGGAGTGACACATAAACCTAGGTCTTCTGACTCTGAATCTGTTGCCTCAAACAAAACAAATGAGTCACAGATTTAGAGACAGAAGGGACATCAGAACACTCAGTGCAACTTCATTTTACATGGAGGGAAACTGAAGCCTGGCTGAGATGATATGATTGTCAAGGTCATCAAGTGTAAGAGGTGGAAGTGTGGACCTCATCAAAGTATCACAATACTTGCTTGCTATCAACAACACCTATGACTGAAGATAAGTAACAAAAATTAGCTAGCACTTAAAAGGCTCTTTATGTATTATCTCATTTAATCCTCACAACTCTGAGGTAGGTGCTATTATTAACCTATTTAATGGATGAGGAAACTGCCTGAGAGATTAAGTGATCTTCCCAGGGTGACATAGCTAGTGATGACTGAGGATGTATTTGAACTCGGGTCTTACTACATTTGGCACTATGACACCACCTATAGGTAAAAATGAGTGGACTGTATTCTACTTTTTGTATTTCCTCTAAGAGTGGCCTAGGAAACAATTTAGGGCGGCCTTCTTTAGTAGGAGAATGCTTTGGTATAGACTAAAGCTTAAGATATTTCAGCAAAGAATACTTTAGTTGATTTAATGAGAATAAACTACTCTAAAAGCTTCAGAGACAGAATTCCCAAATGTAGAACAGGCATTTGAACTGCATTTATCTTTATATACTTTGACATTACCTAGTTTAACATGTTAGCATTAGCCTCAGCAGTATTTACTACTGAATATAAAATAACTGCAGTAATAACCCAACATCAGTGCATTAGTCAGTGTGCTTCTCATTTAGATGTGCTTCTGCACATTTGAATTTAAACCAACCATCTTCCATACAAGGCTAAAAACATGAGGTCCATTTCTTCAAGTTTCCATATTTAAAAAAACACCCCCCTACCCCCCCACACGCCCTAGTTTCCACTATATTTCTGTATTTTCCACACCTTTAATGAGACATTCTTGCCAAATGTCACATCTCCAGACACCGTGAGATGATCCAGTTCAAGCATATCTGGTATACTTTCAAACCGCCTTAGGTAATCCTGGACCTTACATAAGGAAAAAACAAAACTTATTTAACAATTCATTTCAACAACATATGCCTAGCATGCTAAGCACTGAGAACACAAAAACAAACAACAGCACTGCCCCTACCTTGTTACATGCTGTTTTTAATAAATCATTATACAAACAGAAGTTGAAATCATGTCTTTATCCAACTTTAGTTCATCAGCAGTCATACCAATAGTCTGAAAAATCTACCAACTGCTAAGTACTGTGAAGGAGAGGGGAAAAAAAAAACCTGCCCTCAAAGAACTTGCAGTCTAGTTGGGGATATAAGACCTAAACAAAAAGAAAGGTTATTGACAGTAATAAGCATCTAAATCCCAAAGGAGTTAGTCAAATTGCTGTTACAGGAATAAAGAGAAATTGGGTGAGGAACATTTTGACTAGGAAGTCAGGTTTGGATAGGCAAAAGTCAGACAATTCAAAGGCAATATAAGCTGTTGTGACTATTGCTGTAATTTACAAGGATTAAGCAGTGGCTTTTGACTTGCAAGCATTTTGGAAATATAAAAGTATTTGTCCATAAACAAAATGACCAAAAACCATACTCTAGATTATCAATGGATTTTTATTATCAAATGGCACTTTGCTCATGTAGTCTTTTTACTGCTTAGAGATCCAAAAACAGACTGTATTCAGTATTTTGAATTTTGAAACAGATTTGATTCTAGAAAGTGGCATACAAAAAAAAATAATGCTTTCATAAGATTGTAGTTTTTTTTCCCCCCCAAAGGTAAGGTTAAGTATCTCCACAGCAGTCTACCTTACCTACAAAGGTCTGTTACCTTAAAATGTGCTAAGGTTAAAATAACTGAACTAGGAGACAAACACTTCATATTAAATTAAAATGCTAAAAAAATATATATATAAAACCTCATTTTTGCAATACAGTTTCACTCAGAAAATCAAACTGACCTTTCTTTTTAAAATATTACCTTTGTAAAAGAGCTTCCTAATTTAACCAAGGGCACAGTAGGAAACTCTCGTTTTTCACTCATCGTTAAGGATCCTGCATTAAGGCTGTAGAGATTTGACATCACAAGTAGAAGATCGGATGTAGTTTTAACAGGCAGAAAACGGCTTCGGGGAACATTAATGCCAAGAGAATTCTCAAAACTTTTAATAGCAGCTCCAACTGCAGTCTCCAACTGAATAACATTTAGGCCTCCATCCAAGGTCTGAAAAAAGAAATACACTGGGCTGTATATACTTGTCAGTTTGGCTGTGAGATACTGAAAGCCCCATGAGATGGTTTAAAATAGAGACCCACTGAAACTTCCTAGTGGAGACGTGCACAGTCTACATGGACATCATTAACTACTCTTCCCCACGGGCTTCTCACCTTTGGATTGACAATGATCTCCATATCAATGGCGTTCTGCTCCTGCAGTCTCTTGACTGCTGCTAGTGAGATCCACAGGTTGTTTGTGTTAAATATTTTGAATTTTGATACAGACTTGAATTCATCAACGTGGGCTTTTGGCACTTGAGCGATTTCCACCAACCTTAGTTTGCCTTCGTATTGTGTGAGGGTGCCACCCTAGAAAGGCAGAAAAAAAAAGGAGCATTGAGAGTTTACACGCAGCCCCAAATCTTTGGTTTTTATATCTACACTATATTTAAAAGCTCTAAAAATAAAATATGACAATGATGAATTTGTGTATAATGCAAAGAATCACCTGTTTGAAATAACCAGGGAACGATGAAGAACTATTACAACATCTTATAAATCACTGTTTACCACTACAACCCCCTAAGTAAATAAATGTTACCCTCTACTTTATAGATAATAAAAAAAAACTGGACTATATGACTTTAGGTCACAGCAACATCATCTTATAAACACAAAGTTAATCTGGTTTTCATAATGCAGGATTAATAATAAATCCCCTCATCTTTACATAGCATTTTAAGGTTTAAAAAAGTGTTTTCATCATGACTCTATGTGGTAAAATACAGTTACAGCCTCATTTTACTGAGACTCAGAGAAGTTACTAGAGCTTCTCCCGCCTAAAGTCCTGCCTCAAATAGCCTTCTGACTTGCAGAAGTCACTTAAGGTCACTGTGCCTCACCTTCCTTATCTGTAAAATGAAGAGGTTTGGACTCTACTTTCTAAAGTCCTTTCCAGCTATAGCAGGGACTTTTTTTCATTCATTTCATTGTATTTTTATCTCCAGTACATGGAATGTATTAGATGCTTAATACCTGTTGATTGACTGATCCTATAACAGGTAGCAATGCTAAGTCTAGCCTTTGTTCACCTGGTGTCTAGGTATAAGACTAATACCTTTCTCATAGCTAATCACATCAGACTTCATCATATGTGGTTTAGGCACCGTTTGAACTGATATGTATGTACATACATACATACACACACACACACACACATATACATACACATATATACATATACATATATGTATTTGAATCCGGGTAACAAAGTTATGCTAGAACAACATTTTACCATACAGGCTGTCTCCAACTTTAAAAAAATCTGTTAAAAATTCAGAAGGCATTTTTCTATAGTAAGAGTTAAAAGATGTTGGTTGGGTTACCAGCCCCACCTACCTCATAATTACCCAATTTCAAGGTAAGAAAGTACAATTTTAACAAAGCTTTTGTGGAAAGATATCCTTTGTTCTGTATTTGTATTCTTCTTCACTCATCAATTCCTTTCAATCTGGCTTCCAATCTTACTACTTCACTGCAATCACTGTCTCTAAATTTACCAATAGGTTTCTCAAGTGCCAAATGCAAATGTCTTTTTTTTTCCAATCCCTAATCTTCTTGAATTCTCTGCAGTATTTGGCAGTGCCGAACAAGTCCCTTAGGTTCAGTTATCTCTATGCAGACGATTCTCAGATCTACAAATCTACCCTAATCTACTGAGCTCTGTATCTCACATCACCAGCCGCCTACCTGACATTTACAATTGGATGTCCTGTAAGCATCTCGAAGTCCACACGTACAAAACAACTCCTTCTCTTTTCCCCCTTAAACTCCCACCTTCCTTCCTAACTTCCTACTTCTGTTGAGGGCAACACCACACCTCCAGGCGTCCGTCAGAGTCACCCACATATCCAGTTCAGCTTTAAGTCATGTCCGTCCTACCTCCACAGCAGTTCTTGCATCTTTTCCCGTCTCTCTACTCAGGCAGTCATTGCCCTAATTTAGACCCTCATCCTCTCTCACCTGGACTATTATAATCACTACATATTGTCTAATGCAGTAACTGGTTCCCCAGCCTCCTCCTTCCCGCACAACTGTCAAAGGGACACCCTACAGCATAAATCCCTGTTGGTTCTTTACTGCCCAGCCTGGGCACTCTCTGCAGACTTGTTACACGTGACTCTCGGAGTACTCACAAGCTGCAGCCACACTTCCTCATGTGTCACACCCCGTCATCTCCTCTGCCTCCCTGCCTTTGGACAGGCTGTTTCCTATGCCTGGAGTCAGTCTGCTTCCACCTCATCTATGTACTCTTAGTGTCTTAAATTTCCTCCACAACTCAGCCCAAGTGCCACCTCCTACACAAAGATGTCCTGATTCCTCCAGGTGCAGGTGCCTCCCCGATTCCCCCTGGCCACCCCAATAAAAGGGCAGAGCCTGTTATTTGTGTCTTTGCCTCCTCAGTGCCTAGCACACAGTAGGCATTTACTAATACTTGTTGATTGATACTATCTCCTAATGTGATTTGGGATTCCAAAAAATATGGTTCTATAACTTGAGTATGGTACCAACAAAGAAAACCTGTGAACCTAGCGAACCAAGCACTAGGTTTGGGATCAAGAGTCCTGGGCTCAGTTTCTGCCTCCCACACTTTCTAGCTGTTGGAAAAGGCAGGGAGCTATAGCCTGTAATGCCAATCTTGAGGGGGGCAGCACACCTATAACCTGAGACATCAAGAATGTGTGGAACACTCTTTTATCCTTGGCTGCCTTAGAATGAGGGATCCACCAGCCTGGCAGTATTAACAGAGCCTTTCTTTTTTTTTTTTTTTTTTTTTTGTTTTTATAATTTATTTTTAGTTTTCAACATTCACTTCCATAAGATTTTGAGTTTTAAATTTTCTTCCCCTTCCTCTCCTCTCCCCACTCCCAAGAGATGTACAATCTGATATAGGCTCTACTTATACATTCATTTTAAGCATATTTTCCCATTAGTTATACTGTAAAGAATAATTAGAACTAATGGGAGGAACCACGAGAATGAAACCATAAAACAACAAAGGAAAAGGAGAACAAATAGTATGCATTCAGATTCCTTCGTTCTTTTTCTGAGTGTGTATAGCAGTTTCCATTGTGAGTCTTTTGGAGTTGTCTTAGATTCTTGCTTTGCTGTATAGAGCCAAGTCTATCAAAGTTAGTCATCGCACAACGGGCTGTTACTGTGTACAGTGTTCTGGTTCTATTCACTTCACATCAGTCCATACAAGTCTTTGCAGGTTTTTTTAAAGTCTGCCTGCTCATCATTTCTTATAGCACAATAGTATTCCATTAAATTCATATACCAAAACTTGTTCAGCTATTCCCCAATTGATGAATATCCTCTCAATTTCCAATTCTTTGCCACCACAAGAAGAGCCGCTATAAATATTTTTGTACATGTGGGTCCTTTTCCCATTTGTATGATCTCTTCGTTATACAGCCCTAGAAGTGGTATTTCTGGGTCAAAGGGTATGCACATTTTTATAGCCCTTTGGGTATAGTTCCAAATTGATCTCCAAAATGGTTGGATCAGTTCACAACTCCACCAACAATGCATCAGTGTTTCAATTTTCCCATATCTTCTCCAACATTTATCATTGTCCCATTTTGTCATGTTAGCCAATCTGATAGGTGTGATGTGGTACCTCAGAGTTGTTTTGATTTGCATTTCTCTAATCAATAGTGATTTAGAACATTTCTTCATATGACTATGGATAGTTTTAGTTTCTTCCTCAGAAAACTGCCTGTTCATATCCTTTGACCATTTATCAATTGGGCAATGACTTAACAGGGCCTTTCTTAACCCCACCACAGAGTGAATCGTTCATGGAGGCCTGGAGGGGGCCTCAAAATTTTTCTAGTTTAACCCCTCATTTTATTCTTGAGAGAGCTGAGCTCAGAATGGGGTGGGGCCCCCGGTGCCTAATCAGACACTGAGTGGCAGAGCCAGGGCCTCATATCCCACCTCAATTGTTCTTTTCTCTGTGCCAAGGCTACTTGTGGTAGAGGATTCTTCAGTGTCAACTCAGGGAGCCCTCTAGTGTAAACCCTGCCAGGGACACTACCAAGTCCTGGGATGGCTCTCCAGAGAGTAGGGACAAGGCAACCTCCCTAAAAGAGGAATGTGGGGGTGGGAGGTGGGGAAGAAGGGAAGCCTGAAGGCCTTTACCACCACGCTGGTGATCTGGGGGTGGGTGGCTGCTACACAAAATAGCAAAGAAGCCTTAATCAGCATTTCAGAGAAAAACCTGGATGGGAGATAAGAAGCATTAAGGGGCCTGAGAAGCTAAGAAACAGGAGATCTAGAAGTTTCAGTGGGGGAATGATTTGCAGAAAGAGCTTTGAGAATTTACTTTCAACTTGTCTCTCACCACCTTAAATTGGATCCCCAGACTGAATGAAACAAATTGAAATGGTTAATGGATGAGAATGGAGGGAGTGTTAGGGAGCAGTGAGAGTAAAAGGATAGAAAACCTAAAGGGGGAGGGAGGAAAAAAGGAAGAGAGAGAAGGAGGGAAGGAAGGAACGTGGGGAGGAAGGGGAAAGAGAAGAGAGGAAGCAGGGAGGTGGGGAAGAAAGATTTCTGTGGATACCCCAATAATTTTCAGTAGCTATAACAAAATACTTTGTGCCACCTGCCCTCATAGCCACCTAACTTCTTGCTAATTGGCAATGAGGCAATTGCACTTTTTTTTCAAGCACAGAGGTAGTTAATCTATGGATAATCAGAGTGGTGACAGTGAAAACCACAATGGATAGAGGATCTGGCCTTTATTACTTATTAGTTGTGTGACCCATAAGAAGTCTCTTAAGCCTTCTGTGCTTCATCTGCAAAACTCTTGAGGGGCAGAGGGTAGCTGGCTGGATGACATGTGAGGTCCCTTCCAGCTCATCATCGCAGATCCTAGGATCCTGTGATTTCATGGTGTTGGAGGCTCTCTCTTCCTATGCAGAGGAATGTCTGTTCTGCCACATACAGTCCTAGAACTATCTGAGGGCACTGAGAAGTCAAGGCTTACACAGCCAGGATATGTCAGAGGCAGGTCTTGAACCCAGGCCATTTTGATTCCCAAGTACAAGCTCGCTCTCTCTTTCCACTACACTACAATGCCTCTTAATTACGATCATAAACACTCTAAAAATACAACATATATAGCAACTGTACAATTTTTAGTGGGCAAAAATAAAAATGTTAAAGAATTATATAACCCATCAATCAAAATGAAATTAATTAGCAGTTTCTTTTAGCCTTTACCTTTACATCTGCTCTTGTCTTGTTTGTGACTTCCATGACAAATTCGCAACGTTTTCCATTGGGTGGATTCATAAGATGGTTAAGAATATATAGATCCACTGTGGCACCCAAATTATCTATGTTGGACACGAAAATGTACTCCTTTCCCTCTCCTATAAGAGTATCAAGCAAACCAGAATTGTAGAAACTGGCGTAAATGTCACCATGACCTGGAGGATACCATGCTTCTGTATTTTCCCCTGAGTAAGACACATCCTTTGCTACAGGCAGTAAAGATTCTTTATTAATTCTAGGGTACCTGGGGAAAAAAAAAAGAAATCACTATCAACTCCAAAGAAGAACACAGACCCTCATATGTAGACATATAGACAATTCATCTAAATAGAAGTTAACTCCCTTTGAAGAACCATTTCTGGAAAACTTTTAAACTACAGGTTAAATAAACTGTATCCCTTTAAGAATCTATGGAAAAGCTAAAATTACAAAATAAGCAAATTCAGAAGATGCTTTCTCTTACAAAAGGACTCACTATAGGGTTTCTCTAAATACTGTTCTTTTTATAAAAAGCACATAAAATTGCTAGGCATGCAGGAAAGGAGCAGAGGGACATTAAGGGAAGTCTAAAACAAATCAGAAATATATGTAGTAAAAATCACTAAAGTAACATCAGTAGGAAAACGAATTTAGGAAAAAGGATTTGCAGACAACCTTAGAAACACATCTATTGTATAAACTGAGGCATACCCCAATCAACATTTAAATTAATTTTGTTTCTTAGGAAAACCTAAAATACTGTAACAGCATTTTATGCCATGACATAAGAATCTAAAAACTTTCTCAATCACCTCCCCTTCTCTATAAAAAGTGGCCAAGGGATAGAACTCCCCAGAACTTTCCCCAAAATGAGTTAGATGTCAAATGAAATGTTTTTTTCAAGGGATCAGGAGAAAATACACTACAAGCCAAAATGGTTTTCTAATCCAGGCCAGAAATTTTGTCTATTTTTCTCTAAGCAGCCCTCCTATATAGAGGTAGACAAAATGTAAAAAAAGAGCAATCTTGGTTCCAGAGTCCTAACATATGGATGGATACTTGCTATACTGGCCAAGGCCTAACAGGTCTGTTCTGGAACCCATTTTCACTTATATTTTCAGTTAAAGCACAAAGCAACTTAAAAATTCATGCTTCCAAGAACAGAAGCAAATACTCAACCTTCAATGGCAACAATCATTCTATTACAACACATTACCTCCAGAGGCTCTCCTGAAAGTGATGGAGAAGGAGAATTGAAAAATGAACAACCTATGAATCTCTCACTTCTTTCAATAAGTTAATACACTCCAAGTTGTATATCCATAGTACCTGCTTTGATTAAAAGTGTAGATTTTCACACGGCAATGACTGTACTTCTGAAGTATTTTTTTCGTATCTTCATCAGTGTTAAAAGAGTTCATCAAAACAAGAGGAACATCTGTGTTGTATGTTTTGTTCAAGTGCTAGGAAAGAAGGTATAAGTGAAATAAATATTAACCGGTTGTAATTTTTGTCTAAGAACTCCAAAGTTCCTCTTCATTCATAACTATAACACAAAACCCCTCTAAAATGTCTTTACCTATTTACAATTTAACCAAGTACACAAGTCTTTAGTGAGCACCTACTATGATGTTCAGAACCTGGGAGGGGGGAGGAAGGGAAAGGGAAAGCTTCCAAAGAAACAGTCCCTTCCAGAAACTTCCTGGTATTAGATATCTGAATTTACCTCCAATTTAAATTTTCATTTTAAACTTCTCAGATATATACTTTGAGATTACAAAGAAAGATGCCCAAATCTTAACAGCTAATATTAAAAGTAAGTCTAACTAATACCCCCACTTTCCCCATCCCATCAATGTAACACCTGAAACAGAAGGGCAATGGGGTATAATGGAAATGGCACTGGATTTGGAATCAGAGGACTTGAATTCAAATCCTAGGTCTGTGATTTTCTGCCTGTGTGATATAACATAAAACAATTTGCAAACCTTAAAGTGACACATAAATGTCACGTATTACTGCTAGGATAGGGATTGGTCTATGATTTCATGGATAATTAGGATTACCTGATATGAACTTCCAGGTGAGGAAATTCTCTCTACTAATAAAGGTTGACTTGCACAGCCCAGCAGATCTTGAACCTCAGCCTTCCTGGCTTTGAGGGCAGCTCTCTATGAATCATGCCAAACTGTTTCTGATTACTATTATGAAGTAAATAAATCACTTAATTTCTCTGGGCTGCAATTTCCTCATTGTAAAATAAGAGAACTGGTCCAGATGGCTTCATAAGGTCCCTTCCAACTTTCAATTTATCATCCTAGGACCTAAACTCTTGACGTAAATGTTGGTATTTAATGGGAACATGGAAAGAGTAAGTCAAGAGATTCAGGAATTCTAGTGACCGTTTCTAACAGATTCTATTTAAGAGTAAAAGCTCTTGAACTTAATTAAGAATTAAGCTGGGGGGCAGCCAGACAACTACTGCATTGAAATACAACAGTTTCTTTCCTCTAACATTTGTAACAAAACAAAACAAAAAAAAAACCCACCAAAACACCTAACCTAACCCCGAAACAACTTTCTGTATCATATAATTTTACTAAACTCAATTTTAACATCATAATTTGTTAAATATTACCTACCTCAATTTGCTGAACTGTCAGATCCAAAAAGGTATTTTCATTCCGCACACCAATGAGACTTTTGGGGCCTTTACAGCCCATGCTAGTTCCCAAACCACCATTGAGTTTTACCACCACCAACTTATTCAGGACAGAAGCTATATTATCAGGTAAGCCTCTGGCCTTTATCTTCTCATAAGGCTGAATCTAAAAAAGGGGGGGAAAACACCAAAATTAAACAGCTTAAGTAAAGATGAAAGATAGGTCAAAATCAAATAATACAATCCTCCCTGATGAGGTTCTGGTCATTTATTGCAAAGACAACAGAGGCGTCTATTGAGTTTCTTTCAATATCATACTCCTTGTTTTCTCTCCAGTTATAACTCCATCAATCTACACTAACTCAATGTCAATTAATTTCTAGTCTGTGTCTATGTCAACTCCCTTGCTCAAAAACCTTTATTGTGCATCTCCAATCCCTGTACGAGAAAAAATCCAAACTCTTGGCATTGAAGGCCTTCTGCAATCTGAATGAGGCAGCCAGTGACTCAATGGATACAGCACTGGGCCAGGAGTCAGGAAGACCCAAGTTCAAATTCAGCCTAAGATACTTAAGTCACTTAAACTCTAATTGCTTGACAAAATGGATCAGCTGGAGAAGGAAAAAGCAAGAAATAGCAAGCTGTTCTAGTATCTTTGCCAAGAAAACCCCATATGAGATCACAAAGGATGTTATGACTTAACAACAAACAATCCGAATTCCCTTTTTTTACACCTCCCCAATCTAACTTCATTCTACTTTTCTTTATGAACTTTTAGACACATCTTGCCCTGCCTGTTCCCTCCACATGCACGGCTATAGTATTCTCTCTCTCTTGCCATCTCCTCTTTAAAAACTATTTGGAGAGCTTCCTTTGTCTAGTCCTTGGTCCTTTCATCTTACTTCACCCTACATATTTACGACCACATTTATGAACACCCTATTAGTAAGGTCCATGAGGGCAGAAATTGTGTTATAGATCCTTAAAGTAATCTGCACTATCCCACATTTGTCCTGTATAATTACTGAGTTTTCAGTTGGAGGAAAAATACTGTTTCCATTAGCAACAATGATATAAAGGTATAATTCTTCGTAGTATATCTCTATTAGTATAGACAGTGCCAAACAAGATACTGAGACTATTTCCTTCCCTGTAATATGCTTCAACTTCAAAAGAGATGTGATTTTTCTCAGTGATTCCCAGCAATTCTTTCATTATAAAGTTTTATAAATGGCCCAAAACACATTTCATCACTTGTTGATCAAGTATCCAGTGATGACCCACCCTAATCTAAGCTACGATGGTGCTGGAAGCTTTTCGGGCTTGGGAAGGAACTCCCAGAATTTGCCATCTGATTATAGTATAGCTTTGGACAATTTATGGTTACCTCCTTACCATGATTAATGATCTGAGTAGGACTGTGGGTCTTTGTTAAAGATAAAGGAAAAAAAACTCTAACTAAAAGGAAATTTGACCAAAAGAAAATGAACCATATAAATATGGAAAAAAAATCAGGGGACTAAACATGCATCTGTAATGTTCTATTAATAGCAGAAAATAGATTTTCTGGTAACACCAGATTTAGATTTCCAATGAAATTTAAAGTCTGAGAGTTATTTTCGTAAATACAAGAAAGTTGGCTTAAGTAGAAAACTATTTTTAAAATTAAAAGTTGGAATAGCCAACATACAATGTAATGCAGCATATTACATGGGGGGCAAAGAAGGAGAGGGTGAGGGAGACTGAGACTGAGAAACAGACAGAGGCAGATGCAGACATAGACACATAGACAGACAGACAGACAGACACACACACACACACACACACACACACATCTGACAAGGGGGAGAGTGAGAACTCCATAGATCCCACGGCAAAATACAGACAAAATAGTCAGTATTTCTACTGGAGATACTGGCAAAATCCAAGGTTTATTTTTATTATGGTTCTTTATGAAAGTTATTAGTGATTCAATGACTTAATCATTAATTCAATTAAATATTTATCAAGTACTTAGGATATAAAGACAAACTAAAACTAACAGGAATGACCCCTATAAAATCCAAAGTACCTGGTGACCACATAACCAATCTGGGCAAAATGGGGGCCCCTGATTCTGACATACATAGTACTTCTACAAAATCTCACCCTTTGTGACAGTGACAGTGAGAGAGAATAGAACTAACTTCACGTACATCTGTGGATGACTCTGCCCTCTCCCATCTTTTGCTTATCTGGCATTTCTTAAGCTACACCAAAACTACTACTTTGTTTCTTAAGTGTAATGTATCTTTAGGCAAATTTCAATCACCATTTTAAGAAACTGAACAAAGTACACAATTTTACCAAGACCTTTTTCTGAGGGAAGTAGGTAAATTCCTAAAGAAAGATCCCCAGTATTTCTTTTCACATCTGTACTTTACCAGGAGAATAAAACTGTGAAACCAAAGGGGCTTTGTTTCAAGGAAAAGTTTAGGGTCATTAAAAGCACCATCTAACTCCCTCCCTTCCTGTAAAATTCTGGGCACTTCTTAGGCACTGCCTCAGTGTCTGCCCAAGATAATATGTACTGATGTCCCTCCAACTACAGTTCACATTCATAACTGTTAAAATACAGATTCACAAAATATACTGGCAGTTCCCTTTTCAAAGTCTGATGGGGCTCACAACAGTTCTTTCTCTAGTATTGCTGAAAAATTAAATATGCATGAAGTTATCACTTTCAGCTGGGCATGTTTGAGTTCTGTTTCCTTTAAAAACAATATTGATTGGGTCCCAGTCACCCACTTACCAAGTTATGAGTTTATTTTTCCTTCGTAACTATGGCCACTGGGGGAATATTTTCTGAACCAAAAATCAGTACACATAGTATGAGAGAGATTCTATTTGCAAAGCCTGATTAGAAATTAGCTTTTTTTTCTTGAAATTGTGACCATCCTAGACAACAACACAAACTCACCATACTCTACCAATGGCCCAAATTTACGCCACAGCCGACCAAGGTTAGAGGTTTACTCTATAACCATAGAACAAATTCCACACTGCGGATGAATCAGTGATTTTAACATACTTTGGACCATACTCCAACCAAAAAGGCTAACTGTCAGCATCATCTCAGTAACATCCTGCAATGCCACATGTCCTTCAGCCCATCATTCAACATAATTTATGTTACTGCATTTAATGTTAGTGAAATTCCAGAGAGACTACCTACAACAAGAGAGAACCATGAGGCCACCTTTTTGTTATTTCAGTCACAAGCCTCAAGCTGCCAGCTTTTGGGAGCCAGACTTGAATACTGTGTCTTTTTGTTTTATGAAGGAAAGGGTAATGGATCTTTGCCATGTTCTTCCAAAGGAGTCTAAGTTCTATATTAAAACAGTATCCATGAGCTGAATTAACAAGAAAGCAATACACCCAACCACAGTTAGGATGATGCTATGCTCTATGGGTGTAACTGGAGCAGATACAAACTATAGTCTCCTTGCCGGCTCATCACCAGTAAGAGAGTAGTTAACATGAAGTGCAAATCTTTAAGTCAAAGGGAAGAATGGGAGTTCTTTTTAAAAGTATCTATGTATACAATTGTACAAAAAAGACTTGAGTATAAGGCACGATCCAAAAGTCTTCACCAATTCATCATTAAATTAGTACCTCTGAAAAGCACAACAGAAAAAGTCCAAAGGTAGTGTCTAAAGTCCTAGATCTAAGTTAAGCTCAACCATCAAAACCTTCTGGGAGATGGAAGTGGGAGCAGCAGCGGCAGCAATGACCCGCTATGCAGTCTAGAACACGGGGTTTAAAACACATCACTCAAGCACAACCATATTAGAAGAAGAAAATCCACAAGACTCAGACTCACAAAAAGTAAACTACAAAGAGTATCTTAGAAATAGGGTGATATCTAACATTAAAACTATACAGAAGCAATTTTCTGCTTTTCAAGGCTTAAGTTTTAATAGCAGGGTAGAGTATACCATATTTCATAAAAACTTCACATGCCAGAGAAATGTAAACTATACAGTGTGTCAAAAAACAAATAAACAACACATGGCTAATTTCCTTTTAGTGGGGAACATCCTTCCCCGTTTAGCTGATCTCCGCTATTGGTGTATGTGTGGCTAAGCCTTCCAGGTAACGGATTGACATTCTGGCAGCCCCTGCCCCACTTAGCTTTCCAGGAATCCCACTGGGAAGATGATTGTACCCAGAAGCAGAGGGAGGACAATGTTGAGACACTTCTCCCTCACTTAACAGCACCATCTATAACTCACCCACTAGTGTAATCTGGTATCAATCAAGAGTAACCTCTGATTAACCCAAAGCTTTATTAGGCTGGAGAACTTTTGAAAATTCTGTCTTCAAGGATAAGAATGAAACTATAAAATTGCAAGTACAAAGTGTCTCCTTCCTGACAAGACACTGATACTGTTTACATCTTTAGAGTTAATCACTCTCATTCAAACATAGCATTGGTTTTGTTTGTGCAAAGCCCTTTTACCTTCATGTAATCAAAATTATCCCTTTTACTTCCTATGAGCCTCTGTCTCTTACTTGGTCACAAACTCTTCCCTTATCCATAGATCTGACAAGTGCATTTTCCATGCTCCCATAATGGACTTACAATACCACCCTTTATGTTTAAATCGTTTATCCATTTTGACCTTATCTTAGTATATGGTATGAGATGTTGGTCTTTGCTTAGTTTTTGCCAAACTGTTATTCCCAGCAATTGTCAGATGATTGAGTTCTTGCCCCCAAAGCTTAGATCTTTTAGTTCATCAAACATGAGATTACTATGTGTTATTGTGTACCTAATCTATTCAACTAATCTATCACTCTATCTCTTATTCAGTACCAGACTGTTTTGATGATTAGCTCTTTGTTTAGTTTGAAACCCGATACTGCTAGGGGCATTTTTTTCTTTTTTAAAAAATAATTCAGTTCTATTTTGTTTTCAGTTCTGGATTTTCCTACTCCCTCTCCATTCCCCACTCATTGAGAGGGCAAGAAAAACAAAACTCATTACAAATTTATATAGACATGTAAAACAAATGCTTGCATGTGCCACGTCCAACTCCACACCTCCATCTGCAGAGGGGGCTCAGCTCAGACATCTCATTTCTCACATGGATGCACTACTCTGGGACTTCTCTACTATGCCCC